TTAATTAAGTATAATACAGATAAGAATTCTAACGAATAAGTATTAATTTAATATAAATTACAGTTTTAATTATTAGCAAATTATTTGTTTAAAAAGTTTTGATGCTATATCAGGTTCAGATTGCTAGAGTTATACTTCTTGAAGTGAAGTTTTTCTTATTTCAACTTTTTGTTTCTGCACTTTTTTTAATCTACTAGCCAAATTCTCTTTTAAAATCTTACTTGATAATAAATAAAGCTTAGACTATTTTATTGATGATAACATATTTATATACGTTTTCAGATCTAGTTTGTTGAAAAGACCTTCAACTTGTTGTTGATGTATAACAATATAATAAATATGATTTTTAATGAAATTATAAATATTGGGAAAATGATATAACAATGGACTATCACAAATGTAGAATTGAGTAAATTCTTTAAGAAAATTGCTATTTTAATATAGCAATTCACTTAAACTAAAGTCATTTGTAATTCCATTATTTCTATTATCTTCCAAATTTTGAGTAAATTGCAATTCTAAATCAGAAGGTGGAGAGATCTAAGACTTTTGAAGAATAACATAATAAAAACTAGATATAAATTATCTCCTTCAAGCTGATAAACTGCCAATGGTAAATAGAGCTATGATAAAAACCATTTTGAAAAGATTCTAAGGCTTTTACAATTTCATACTCTAAACTATCAAAAAAAATTTTAAAATTTTTATAAGATAATAAATATACAGCCTTTAAAAGCTAATCTAAAAAAAATATGTCAAAGTTGCTAGTAAGATTTTGAATAAATCTATGCCATTCAAAAACTTTGTCAGGCATTTCATGAGCATGTCACCCTGGAGGCAATGCAATTAATTATCTATCTTCATATAATTGTGAAATATTATCTTGTCCTATTATAAATTGTATTAGAGGTTTATAAAAATGCTTAGCAAAGTTAATTAAACATTTAATTTGAATATTAAGTTTTGGATCAGCAAGTCAAAATTTGAAAATATGCCAATCACTGAGGTAAGATTTAGGTATTTTTTTATAGTTTTCTAATTTATAATAAACCAATCTGTAAATTCAATATAAGCTGAATGACGATCAAGATACTGCTTAGCTGTTCGCAATTCATATCCCCAATGAGATTGAAGAGATAACTGATATTGATTGTAATGAAATCCCAGTAATCTATCATATAATTCTTGAATAATATAAGCATTTATGTTAAGTGGCTTATCTTTATCACTTGAATTATAACTATTATGAAGCTTTTACGCTAAATAAAGTAAATTGTATATATGAGATTTTCTTAAAAAATCAGTACTATTTGAAATTATTCCAAATGTTTCTTGTTTAAAATTATTAAGTACAATTTGAATAATGTGAAATCCACAACTAATTTGAATTGAATTTGTGCTACTTTTTTTATTAAAAAGAACAATAGCACCTTTTTTTTCACCAAATATATAGACTGTATTATCTGTCACCCATAATACATATTTAACAAAATCTAAACCATCTTATTATGTATACTTTATAATAGTATTAGATACAGTATTCGCATTACAATTAGGAATATCTTTAAGATGAGCTACAGTTACAACTAATATTTAATCCTTTTGATTTCAAAATTGATAGCATAAAATAAAGTTTTTTGCTTCACCTCATGTTGATTCATCAACTAAGATTCCAAATAATAGGGTATTAATTACCTAATAGATTTGAGTATCAATATGTAATTTAGAAATGTCTTAATGCTAAGTACGCAATGTTAATATTGTTAAACAATTTTGTAATAGCTCTCTAACAAGAAATTCATAGATTAACTACATACATTCTACAGTAGAACATAATGATACTTAACTAACTTGTGAGATACTAGTTGCAAGCCAAACAATATTGGTTATATATTCTCGTTTATTTATTTGAAAAATAGATTTTAATTGCTTATGAAAAGTTGTATCTATGTGATGAACTAATGATCGAATTTTAAATATACAATTTGCATTTTGATTGTAAAAATACATATTTTGTACTTCAAGAGATTGTGTTTTTCTAATTAAAGTTTGATTTTGCTGATGAAGTTTTCTGTAATCAATCTTTAGATTTGTATTGGATATTTGTAATTCTTAATATGTAGATTTGTTTTT